CATGAACACTCCACATTTCTCTTTTCTCCCGCTCATAACACTCCGCATTTCCTGCCTCCTCATGAACACTCCACATTTCCTCTGTCTCCTCGGAACACTCCACATTTCTCTTCCTCCCTCATGAACACTCCACCTTTCTCTGACTCCCTCATGAAAACTCCACATTTCTCTGGCTCCCTCATGAACACTGCACATTTCCATGTCTCCCTCATTAACACTCCACATTTCTCTTTCTCCCTCATGAACACTCCGCATTTCTCTGCCTCCCTCATGAAAACTCCACATTTCTCTGTCTCCTTCATGAACACTACACATTTCTCTGCCTCCCTCGTGAACACTCCGCATTTGTATGCCTCCCTCATGAACACTCCACATTTCTCTGTCTCCCTCGTGAACACTCCACATTTCTCTTCCTCCCTAATGAACACTCCTCATGTCTTTGTCCCCAAAAAAAAACACTCATGAGCCTCCACATTTTCTCTGTCCTCCCTCATGAACCCGCCACATTTTTTCTGTCCTCCTCAGGACACTGCCACATTCTCTGACTCCCTCAGAACACTCCACATTTCTCCTGCCGCCCTCATGACCTCCCATTTCTTTCTCTGTCTCCCTCTTGAACACTCTACATTTCTCTGACTCCCTCATGAACACTCCACATGTCTCTGTCTCCCTCATGAACACTCCGCATTTCTCTGTCTCCCTCATGAACACTCTGCAACACTCTGTCTCCGTCATGAACACTCCGCATTTCTCTGCCTCCCTCATGAACACTCCACATTTCTCTGCCTCCCTCATGAACACTCCACATTTCTCTGCCTCCCTCATGAACACTCCACATTACTTCTGCCTCCCGCATTAAAAACCTCCGCCTTTTCTTGCTGCCGCCCTCATGGAACACCCACCTTTTCTCTTCTTCTGTATTCCTCATGAACACTCCACATTTCTCTCTCTCTCATGAACACACCACATTTCTCTGTTTTCCTCATGAACACTCCACATTTCCATGTCTCCCTCATTAACACTCCACATTTCTCTGGATCCCTCATGAACACTCCGCATGTCTCTGTTTCCCTCATGAACACTCCACATTTCTTTGTCTCCCTCATGAACACTCCACATTTCTTTGTCTCCCGCATGAACACTCCACATTTCTCTGTCTCCCTCATGAACACTCCACATTTCTCTGTCTCCCTCATGAACACTCCACATTTCTTTGTCTCCCTCATGAACACTCCGCATTTCTCTGCCTCCCTCATGAACACTCCACATTTATTTGTCTCCCTCATGAACACTCCACATTTCTCTTCCTCCCTCATGAACACTCCACCTTTCTCTGACTCCCTCATGAAAACTCCACATTTCTCTGGCTCCCGCATGCAACACTGCAACATTTCCATGTCTCCCTCCCTCATTAACAACTCGCGCCATTTCCTTTCTACCCTCATGAAAAACCACACTCCGCCATTTCTCTGCCTCCCTCTGAAAACCCACATTTCTCTGCTCCTTCATGAACACTACACATTTCTCTGCCGCCCTCGTATCCACTCACTCCGCATTGTATCCTACCTCATGACACTCCACATTTCTCTGTCTCCCTCGTGAACACTCCACATTTCTCTTCCTCCCTAATGAACACTCCTCATGTCTTTGTCCCACTCATGAACACTCCACATTTCTCTGTCTCCCTCATGAACCCTCCCATTTTCTGTCTCCCTATGAACACTCCCCATTTCTCCTGACATCCCGTCATGAACACTTCCACATTCTTTGTTTGCCTCCTCATGAACACTCGCCACATTTCCTCTTCCTCCCTCCTGACACTCCACATTTCGCTCTTCCTCCCTCATTAACACTCCAACATTTCTCTGTCTCCCCATGAACCATCCCATTTTCTCTGGTCTCCCTCAACAATGAACCCTACTCCCATTTTCCATGTCTCCTCTCCCTCATGAACAATCCACATTTCTCTGGCTCCCTCATGAACACTCTGCATGTCTCTGTTTCCCTCATGAACACTCCACATTTCTTTGTGTCCCTCATGAACACTCCACATTTATTTTTCTCCCTCATGAACACTCCGTATTTCTCTGTCTCCCTCATGAACACTCCACATTTCTCTGTCTCCCTCATGAACACTCCACATTTCTCTGTCTCCCTCATGAACACTCCGCATTTCTCTGCCTCCCTCATGAACACTCCACATTGCTCTGTCTCCCTCATGAACACTCCACATTTCTCTGTCTCCCTCATGAACACTCCACATTTCTCTGTCTCCCTCATGAACCCTCCACATTTTTCTGTCTCCCTCATGACACTCCACATTCCTCTGTCTCCCTCATGAACACTCCACATTTCCATGTCTCCCTCATGAACACTCCACATTTCTCTGGCTCCCTCATGAACACTCCTCATGTCTCTGTTTCCCTCATGAACTCTCCACATTTCTCTGTCTCCCTCATGAACACTCCACATTTCTCTGTCTCCCTCATGGACACTCAGCATTTCTCTGTCTCCCTCGTGAACCCTCCACATTTTTCTGCCTCCCTCATGAACCCTCCACATTTCTCTGCCTCCCTCATGAACACTCCGCATTTCTCTGTCTCCCTCTTGAACACTCTACATTTCTCTGACTCCCTCATGAACACTCACAATGTCCTCTGTCTCCCTCATGCACTATTGCCGCATTTCTCTTCTCCCTCTGAACACTCTGCAACACTCTGTCGCCGTCATGACACTCCACATTCTCATTTCTCTGTGTTACTCTGCCTCCCTCATGCCACTCCACATTTCTCTGCCTCCCTCATGAAACACTCTCCACATTTCTCTAGCCTCCCCCATGAAACCCTCCAACATTACTCTGCCTCCCTCATGAAAACTCCGCATTTCTCTGCCTCCCTCATGACACCTCCAAATGTCTCTGTATTCGTCATTGAACACTGTCCACATTTCTCTGTCTCTCTCATGAACACTCCACATTTCTCTGTTTTCCTCATGAACACTCCACATTTCCATGTCTCCCTCATTAACACTCCACATTTCTCTGGATCCCTCATGAACACTATTCCGCATGTCTCCCTGTTTCCCCTCATAAACACTCCACATTTCTTTCTCCCTCATGAACAATACTCTCCACATTTCTTTGTCTCTTCCCGCAATGAACACTCCAACATTTCTCTGTCTCCCTCATGAACACTCCACATTTCTCCTTTCTCCCTCATGACACCCACATTTCTCTGTTCACCCTCATAACACTCCGCTTTCTCTGTCTCCCTTGAACACTCCCA